CTCTCTCATTCCCTTTCATTCCCCTTTTCTCCTTCCCTTTTATTCCCTCTCTCCGTGCCTTTCATTCCCCTTTCACCTTCCCCTTCATTCCCCTCTCTCCTTCCCCCTTTTTTTTTACCTCCCTCTGAATACATTCCCCTTCCTTCCCCTCTCTCTTCCTTTCTTCCCCCTATCTCCTTCCCTTTTAATCCCCCACTCTCCTTCCCTTTCATCTCCACTCTCTCCTTCCCTTTTATCCCCCTTCTCTCCTTCCCCTTTCTCGCCGTCCTCACCTCCATCGCGATGAAAGCGTCCTCTACGGCCACCTCCTCATAGAACGCGTTGTTGAGGAGGTCGTGGTAACAGCGCACTGTGGACATCAGATGTTCCCGGGATGCGTTGCTGAACGGACGTGTCATCTCCCCGTGGGAATCGAAGAGGGTTCCTGTGAATTGATTTTTTTGGGGGGTATTGTAAGTATTTTGTTTCCGTGCTTGTTTTTTGTACTTATTCGTATTTACATATTCTTGTGAAGCGTTTTTTTTTCTTCTGATTCGTATTACAAGTCGTACTGTGTTCCTGTGTATTATTATTATAAATATCATTATTTTTTATATTCGTATTTCAAGGCTTACTGTGTTCTTGTGAAGTATTTTTTTCTGTTCAGATTACAAGTCGTATTGTTCTTCTGTGACGTATCTATTTTTCTTTATATAAATTTATAAATGTATAATTTTTATCATAAAGAGTACTGGAAGCCATTTTCTATATATTCCCATGGCTAGAACCTTAAGAATACGTAGAAATGTCTTCCCATACATTCTGGATTTTGTACGTACGTTGATAAAAGACTGTTAATGAGAATAGCGGAGAGACAGCAGGGTTCGTACATACTTCACGAAATTCCAACCGGAATGAATAAAATGGATGAACTGCATTATATATCCTTAACGAAAAATCCTACCGAAATGAATTAAATGGATACATTGCCTTAACAACTTATTTCAGCGACTCACCTGTGAAATCCATCCCGTGGAATATTTCATGAGCCATGGCTGTGGCGGCCGACCCGTAGTTGAGGTACTCTGGACCCTTCTTCGTGTAGTATGGGGAGTGGAAGAACGCCTCGGGGAAGACTGGAATGGGAAGTGAAGTGAAAAAGCAGGAATTTACCTTTTGGGGGATTCAGATCTTTATATCTCTTTGTAGGTCTCTGCTTGTGTGTTTGTTTGTCTTGCCTCTGTCTCTTGTCGGTGTCTTAGTTCCATGTTTCTGTCAGTGTCTGTGTCTCTGTCTTCATTCTCTCTCTCTCTCTCTCTCTCTCTCTCTCTCTCTCTCTCTCTCTCTCTCTCTCTCTCTCTCTCTTCTCTCTCTCTCTCTCTCTCTCTCTCTCTCTCTCTCTCTCTCTCTCTCTCTCTCTCTCTCTCTCTCTCTCTCTCTCTCTCTCCTCTAGCATAACTGTGAACTGACCTATAGTATTGGTAGAATGCATATGAAAAGCGTTCACGATGTATGGCTGGACCGTAAAACTCCAACTGAAATAAAGAGAGTTCAAACAGATAACTAAAAAAGGTGAAAAGTAAGAAAAGGGTTGAATTATGTGATTGGAACTCATTCATCATAAGGTATGGCATAACGTAGAGCAAATTATGAACTAGACATTTTTTTTCTTTTGCATATGATACGAGTATGAACATGAGTATGCAGAGAACACTTAGCTATATACACTAAAGATAAGGTTGTGTGACTTACATAAAGGAGAAGCGATCGACGGGTTCCTTATACAGGTAATAAAGTTCTGTCCTCAAAACTCGGTAAATTTCCAACACATTGTCCCGGAATGAGTTGTCCTCGCTCAAGTTAATCTGCCAAAAGAGTTATTGCCACAAAATACAATATATACAGTTTCTGTTAGTGTATTTTTTTATACTAGTAATTCATATATTTTAGAAAAACAAGATTTCAAAATAAGTGATTTCAACACATACAGAAACCTTTAGCGAAGCTGTTTTCCTATCAGCAAATTCAGATATTCTCATAACTACAAAACAAAACGATCATCTCAAAAAAAAAAATAATAATAAATAATAAATAAAATAAATAAATAAAATAAAAAATAAAATAAAAAAATGAAAAAAAAAATCACAACTAACCCCGACATGAGATATGTTAACAAAGGTGAGATTCCAGTGCTTATCGTAGGCGCCGATCTCAGCCTCAAGGCTCCGCAGCTTATCGTGGGCGGCGGCCATGTCCTGAGGGCTTAGCCAGGGCGCCTTCTCCACCGAACTCTTTACCTCCTCCCGTAGCAGGCCCAGGATGTCCTTGGCCTTGTGGGGGGGGGGGAGGAATTGACAGAAGAGAAACAGATTTTATTTACAGTCGATGTGTGGAGAGAAGCAACGTCACTTCAATTCATTCTGTTTTGAACTTTATTGGATTTCTTGACAGATGTAATTAATTAGAAGAAATCAGTCTTGTGTAACGAGCAAGTTGCGATTCTAAAGACTAATG